CATTGTTTATACCAAAAACTACATAGTTCAAACCAAGAATACAAAACATATGAGAATCATGAACTATGGATTTGAAAAACCAAATAAAATCATTTTTAATTTATTAACAATGTAAAACAAATACTTTCTTTTAAAGATTTAAAAATTGTTTGTAATTTGTTTAAAAAATCTCAAATAAAAATCATCTTTAAGAACATGAAAAACTAAAAATTAAAAAATTTGTTCTTAAAGATCAAACAAGTTTTGGTACCTAATTACTCTTGGTGCCGAAGAATCTAGGGACATAGTCCCTATCATTAAATCTCAAAGCCCTAGGGTTATGATCCCTTTTGGACTCATTTGGTGCACAAACACGGTCATAACAATATGCATGCAAATAACCTTTCCTATTGCAATAAGTGCAATGAAAGAGGCGCATTTATTTTTATAGACCTTGTGGTAGTGCACGAGAATCATTTGCATACATAAGTGGTCTTTTAAATTTATTTTGCAAATAAGAAACTCTTTTCAAATTAAAATATTATTTGGCTAAATGACCAAATCTACCATAATAATTACATTGATACACATTAGCATGCTTATGATGAACTTGGTGAGTATGAACATGTTAATGTGTAAATGTACATGATGATAAAGCTTGATGGAATGCACATGGAACATTAGATTTTATGGGTTTACGTGCATCATAACAAACTTTAGCAATGTGGCTTTTTCGGCCGCAAATAAAGCATTTGTAAATTTTGCTATACATGTGTGTATAGTGAGTGTTTGATTTGGAAGTGTTAACACGGGACTTTGCACACAAGTCCATAAGCTTATTGTTATTAGCAATGCATGTTTTAAGGGTTGAATCTAAAGATGATATGCGGTCCTTAACATGATTCAACTCATTTACTTCCACAAATGCATTGTTATTAGAAGTAGAACATATATAGGTGTTAGCAAAAGAACTAACATTATTTTTTATGTTTTCTACTTCTAATATGGTATTATCTTTCTCATGAGTTAAATTAGTAATGTTTGAAATTAAAGAAACATGATCCGACTTTAATTTCTCATTATTTTTTTAAGGATCACATTTTCATTAGAGATAGTATCAAATTTAGAAGCTAATAACTCATGATCGGATTTTAATTCTACATGCTTGCTTTTAAGATTAATAAAATTATTTTGCAACTTAGTGTAGGCATGTATTAACCTATCATATGCACCAAGGTTTTAAATATCGGTTATCGGGGATTTATCGGACGGAAAAAATCCTTGTCGGATAGCGGAAATCGGGGATATATCGGGGATAAGTAGTATTTATCGGAGTAATATACTGGATGATGTGTATATATAATATAACAATTAAAAAATATAATCTAATCATGCTTAATAAAATATAAACATACCAAAATGTAAATCATCATGTTTAGAATCATTAACCAATTGTAGAAAGCGAAACTTGCATCATAGCCTTGAAAAAAATATAATGTTAGTCAAAATGAGCCGATAATCCCGATAATCCCGATAAAAAAGTCTTACTTATCGGCCGATAAGTGCCGATAACGCCGATAAATCGCCGATAAACCTAGAAAAACGATAACCGATTAAAAATCCAATTTATCCTAGCGGAGAGCTCCCAAATCCGATAACTCGGCCGATAATATCGATTATCGGCCGATATTTAAAACAGTGATATGCACAAGCGAGTTCATTAATTAAAAGTTCACTTTCAGAATCGAAATTGCTTACCACACTAGGGTTATCCCCTGGTGGACGTGTGCTTGATGGTGATGCTCCAATAGAACTTGAAGAGGAAGCCGCCAAAGCTCATCGGATCTCCTCTAAGTTTCCTTGATGCGCTTCTAAGAATTTTCACAATGTATAAGCGCTATCAAAAGAATCAAGCTTGTTAGACATAGATGAATCAAATGCATTTAATAAAAATTCTAAAACAAGCTTATTCATAGTAAATATTTTCTTATCATTTTTGCTCCACTTGGATTTCTCCAAAGGGCATAACATAAGCATGATCAATGACTTCTCACAAATTAATATTTTTAGATCTAACAAATAGCTTAAATCTAAAACACCATTGAGCATAGGGAAAAGCATTGAATTTAGGAGCAACACTAGGATCATAGCCTAAACAAGATGCTCCATTCATATCCAATTAGCACAAATATGAGAACAAGGAACTTTGACTCTAGGCGATTAAGCCTCTAATCAAGAGCACCAAGCTCCGATACCAATTGAAAGAACCCTAGAAGGGGTGAATAGGGTTTATGCTAATCTAATCTGATAATAATACCAATTAAAACTAATTAACAAGTATATCCTAGCAAGAATGATATACAACAATTATATACAAAGAAATACAATATAAACAATGGTGAAATAACATGAATCAATGGCGATATGGAATATAGCAAGGCACAAAAGAAATACGCCAAGGCAAACACAAACACACGATATGATCACGGAGTTCGGTCCTTCTGACCTATGTCTCCGCTCCCCACTCCCGATAAGAATCCACTACACAATTGGGTTTTCAACATTCACCCAAAAACGTTTACACCTCACAAATTTGGTTTTCTAGCTCACCGAAAACTTTCACAATACACACTCTTGCAATCACACTCTACACCCTCTAAGTGTTGGTCTCTAGCCCGTGTCCTTCCTCAAGTGCTTGAATTTAAGACCTCTCTCTAAGCTTTACTACCGACGTCACTCCTCTTGGAACGGACCTCATCTCTCAACACACGCTTCTCTCGATGTACAAGTGTATTACAAAGTGTATTACAAAGTGTATCTCACAATGAAAGCTTAAATAAAAATAATTTGTTCTCTATAATAGATGAGAACACAATGTAAGCTCACACTCTAAGTAACACAATCTCACAACCCTAAATATACTATGTATGAAATACTAAAAGATCAATAGGTTGTGTGTGTAAACAAAGAGTAAAATCAAATATAAACTCAATTTAATCTAGCAAAAATAAATATGACAAATTAAGCATAAACAAGCTAGATAATGAGTTTAAGAAAACTTCACTAAAACAAGAGTGGAGGGATGTAGATTGACGCCCAAATAAGAATGGATAATCTCCTCTTCCTCTTGTGAAAATTTTTTCACAAAACAAACTCAAAACAAAACTTAAACAAACTTTTAAACACCTTTTAAACTTGTTTAAAAACTCTCTTTTGATTTGTTTAAAACATTCTCTTAATTACCCTCAGAAATTAGAGGGTATGGGGTATATATAGGATCATAGAACAAGCCACAAAACCAAAAGAAAACCAAGAAAAAAGACAATAAGCGAAAACCTAAAAATCTAGAAAACTAGCCATTGGTCAACTAATAAACAGTATCAGTCGACTGATGAGCTAACCGTTACAGGCAGCTCACAGTTCATCGGTCGACTGAAGATCTCCTCAGTCAACTGATGACCTCATCAGACGACAGATAGTTTATCAGTCGAAAAAACAGAAACTTTTAGCAGTTCCAGGCGAGTTCATCAGTCGACTGATAAAATCCATCGGTCGACTGAAAACAATTTATCAGCCTGAAATGAATAGTAAAACTAATTTTTAAACCTCTTTAAAAAATAGTAAATAAATTCCAAAAAATGTAAAACTTTGAGAAATGTTTATAAACATGGTAATGAACATGTTACAAATAGAATTTTTGGAATTGCACTTCCCAATAGTGAAAACTCATGATTTTTCAAAACTAGTCGAAAACATGAAAACTAAATATACTTGTTTTTGACATTTTGACTTAAACAATATTTTAAAACCTTGTAAAATGATTTTATAGAGTTAATTAAATATATAAATAAAGATTGTTAAGTCCAAAAACAAGAATACACAATTTTCATAAAAATGTATATACTATACAATATTATCTTAAACACATTTATTTTCCAAATACAAAATCGATAAATAGAAAACTAGAATATATGGATATGTATATAACTATTAGTTTCATATTTATAAACTTGAAAATCAAAAACGTGAATGTGTGTGTATATGAGCTTTAAATACCAACACACAAAGTATAAATCTAAACTAATATACCCAAGCTATGAGATCTTCAATAGAGCTCGTCTTGGATGCGGATGAAGCTTGATCTTGTATATGACTTGAATGTGCAATGGCTTCACTCCACTATTTCCGCTAACCTCTATTTGATATGATCGTTATGGCGTAATCCATCCAACCTCCAACACATTGTTTGTCTAGAATAAATAAGAAAACATAAACACTAGACAAACAATATTAGTCATAAATTGTTTGTTAAAACATCATCAAAACAAAAAGACCAACACATTGAAGCTTGAGGCTAGGGCTGATGTCATCATCACCAGAGTAGGGAACTTTGCTACAGGCAATGTATTTTCATGGTTAATAGAGGTTGTTGGCAGATTAGCATTATGGTATCATCTAATATTCTCTACCATAATGTAAGGTATTTGATATACAAGTAGATTATTTGTGATCTCTGACAGGGTCGTACCCTTCGGATGATTTTAGTTAAAATTGGTTATAATTTTGATTTTACAAGTCAGTGCAAGTCTTTACCGCCAGTATGTGCGGAATGTAGACTTCTTTTTCTACTGTGTTCAGAGGTTTGGAATTCTAATGGCTTGCTTGAGAATACCAACATTGTGTTTTTGGGGAAAAGGCGGAAAAAATTTATCTTGAATTCCTTGTGAATTCTAGCAGAAAGCACAGCGGCAGACTGATTCATCACGAGGGAACTGGTAATCGAGGATCAGAGCAACAGACTAGCTCCCAATTTCTACGAAGAAGAAACATTTTAGTTTCACACTACGGCAGTGTTCGGATTGTCTTACGAAGGCCATCAACAGATGAAAGAAACAAGAATATGGAGGACAAGAACCAAAGTGAATTTTCGTCTGATTTAAGCAAAATGGAAAATTCGTATAATGTAAATCAGCAGGTAAGATAACAGAGGGAGGGAAGAAATGATAAACAGCTATCACAACTTGAAATAAATATGACAAATACTTTATATATATAGCATCAACATGAATGCTCAGCTCCAGATGCAATACAATAAATAGAAAATTCATGTACTAAAAGGCTCCTATAATACAAGCGTCTTCATTGGAACTCTGAAGACAAATGAAATCCCCAAAACCCTACAAGGAATGGACCAAACAGCCGAAGCAAACAATACACCGATCAAGAGGACAAAAAGGAAGAAAAATCAGAATGGACAAGCACGTAATATACAGAAGCCTCAGAATCAAAGAATTCGGCGCATCAAAATGAAGATGCTCTGCGTGTTTCACTACTACACCTTTCAAAGTTGCAGGAAGTGAAATAAAGCAGACACATTTGATAAAATATGCTAAGTCTCAAAGCTATATAGGATCTTTTACTGGACGCCCCATCAATCTGCATTGTTGAGGTAGCAAAGAACACATGACTTGGCCATTCATTTTAAGAAGTTCCCCATCAATTCCACACCCCTTCTGATTGTTTCCGGAGGCCTTGAGCTTCACAGATTTCACCTGAATAAAGAAAGGAATATTACTATGCAAGAGAGCAGCTAAGTATTATGCTTACAGTTCAAGTTTACTTATAGAAGTGGTAATAGAGGATAAGAGAGTTAGCTATGATCCAAACTTAGCAAACCAGTAATTGCCCGTAAAAATTTGAATGCATGACACAGATAAGCATGCCGGGAAAATGTTGTCAGAACTGACCAGCCGCTGAACTGTACAATTCAGTTTCTTAGGGTCCAACCGTGTTACTTGAACTGGGTCCAATGGATGGAGACAGTCGAAAGTAAAAACTTAATAACTCTCAATCCTCACTATAACTTCAATGTTTTTGGTGCAATAGAAGACACTTTAACATGAGATTAGAGTAATCCAGGTTCAAGTCTCACCAGACACATTTAAACCAAATTTAGAAAATACCATGGCGTAAGTCTAGGTTTTAGCCCACTAAAAAGGCACCATACCAATAAGGACATGTTAGCACACAAAGCTACAATCCTTCAACCCTTACCATAACTTTAAAGTTTTGGTGCAGTGAAATTTTAATAGAGACACTAGTCAGTTACATAGCTGAGTTGGAATAAGCATAACGGGTGCCTGGCTCACCAGATAGCGCGACATGCGGAAAATGGGTGGCCACGTTTAGCCTACACCAACTCTCATGCTTGTACATCACAATTGTTTGGAGTAAAGCTTACTACAAAATGTTGCTCCTCCTAAACTGGCCAAGGCTGGATTTCCTCTAGCCAACATTTTCTTCTTCTTCTTCTTTTCGGAGCAAAGATCGTAATTTGGCCTTTGAACTTGGGTCCAAATCCTTTCGGTGAGTGATACCTAGATGGAGCCAACAACCATTTTATAAAAAAAGGTTATCGTGCTTGCACAAACCATTTGGTTCACGTGATCTTGGCAGCATGGTCTACTTTGCTCGCAGTCATTCCTTTTCTGGCATTTTCAGAGAACCAAACAACCAGATCAGGTGGTTCCGGTCAAACCTTGGCATCCTTATCTTCCAACCTTTTTTAAATCAGAAATAAATGGGTTTGGATACAGATAAAACACAAATTTGAAATAGCTTCCCAAAAGAATTGAACAAGTTCTCACAACTTGCAATATGTCTCTGCCAATTTTTCCCTAGGTTGGTGAAAGATTCCCAAGGCAACAGTAATTTTAGAGGCTAGCTCACTAGGTTGGTTCAAGATTACTATGGCAACAAGAGATGACCTCCACGCAAAACTTCAAAGATTCGAATAGAAGGCATCAGTAGGCCTACCATAGTCATGCGGGCTTAAATTCATCTCTTCCGAATTCCCTATACCATTATTAAAGAGTCTAGGAAAACGTGATGATAAGTTCTATTGTAAAACCTTTCAAGACAAAACATAAGCTGGGAAAAATTAATTCCCCCAATTGGCACTTCGTTCCAAATTGGAAATTTTATTGGTTACTGCATTTGGCTCATTATTTTATTTCCATATCCGCCCAGGTCAAAATCTCATTCTAAACAACTGTTATTACACTAAACTAGGTCAGACAATTATTTGCATGGACCAGATGGTCTGAGTCGACACTAAAACCAGTCAATCCAGCTGCGAAGTTCCAGTCCCGCTTGAACCGACTAGTAGGGTTACAACGTTGGTCATGACCTAAGCTGCATGGAAACAGGTATGGGTATGGGTGCACGTATGGATAGGGCTACGGGACACTAACACATTTGTAAATGTAGGGTACGGGGACATGGCTATATAAATATCTATATACACATACAAAAACTAATATTGAAATTAATAATTTAGATGAGATCAACATTGTTTTCCATTCACGTGTTATGAGAATTGAAACTACTACAATATTTTTATGTTTCCTTTATTATGTGGATTAAAATTGGAAAATTATTATCTTTGAACTAGACACCTAAACGACCCTTTAGATAATAATTCGAAACCCGACCTACATCCTACGAGCATTAGGAAGTGGATGTGAAGTGTAGAATATGCGTCCAAGAAGTGTATGAGAAATGATTTAATGGGGTTTTATTGGTTGGTGTAATTCTAGGGTACGTGGGATAATTTTTTAGATTTTACTTTATGGTGTTATTCATTAGGACAATGGGATGGGGATTTCACTATAAGGTTTTTTTCATTGGGACAATGAGATTGGGACAATTACCCCCACTTTTCCCAAACTTATCCTACTTCTATACACACTTTTTGTATCAACCTCCAAAAATTACCACATTCTTAACTTTGGGACAATCATGGAGAAAGTGAGATAATTTTGAAGCATTAATTAAGCAAAATCTAACATATGTTAATTGTATTATAATATATAATATATCTTAATTATATTATATTATAAAATTCTACTATAACTTAAGGTAATAAAATATTATATAATATTATCTAATATAATATTATTATACATCATTATTACATATTAGTATTATATTATTATAAAATTACTTTATATTATTTGATATATATCTTATTAGTTAGAATAAAAATATAATTGTAGTATTTTTATAATATAAAATATTGCATCATAATTTAGTGCTTATATATTTAATATAATAATATATTAATTATATTATAATAAAATTTAATATGATAATATATTCTATTATATAAAATATTTTAATTTATATAATAATTTATTATTTTCTATTACACTTGATAGTATATTACAGTTATTATAAATATTATATTTTAATAAGGAGCCATGTCATCAATTATCCCATTTAAATTATAGTAATTATCATAAAATATAGTATTATATTTTAATAATAATATAAAATTATAAATAATATTATATTGTATAAACTAAAGATATTATAACACTTACATTTATATTAAATTAAATATTATATTATTGAAATACTATAATAAATATATTGTTCATCTATTACATCAATTATTATATAATATATCATATTAATATAATATAATATAATATATTAATTAATAACATTAAACATAGTTACGATTAATTAGTAATTATAAAATGACATATTATATTTTAGTATAAAGTAAAATAATGTATTATAATATAATAAAATACTAAAACATATACTAAACTAATTGGATAAATTAATTCAGACTTAACTGATAAATAAATATTATATTTTCTTAAGATGCCACATTATCAATTATCCTACTTATTGTCAAATCAAAGCTTCAAAATGTCTCGTTATCCCAACTTGCCTTGGTTTACCCCACTCAAAATATTCCAAAGGGATAAAATTATTCCATTAGAACAATTATCCCACTTGGCCCAACTTAT